AGGAATTAGAGAACCTGGTGCTGTTTATTGGTGTCGATTGAGTGGTCAATGCAGAGAGTGGCCAATTGACAATTCGAGAAATGGTGAACTGCATGGGATTCAAGGGATTAATCAGATGATCGATGAGTCTTGGATCGGTGCTACTATTTCTGTGGAAAATAAACCACAGCCCAGAGTTGTTGTACGTAATAAACAATCTCACCATCTCCATTAATTATTCTTGGTTTCATTGAATTCATTGAGCTTTTATGTTTGATTCTCAATTATTATGCTCAAGTGAATTTTTTTGTGGTGAAAAATATTTTTCATCGTTTCGGTTCTGCAGGTGTGCGCACCGAGATGGAAGAATATTCTGTGGGGCTCTGCGTTCATGAATGGAATCTGTTATTATGCGATTGCAAGTTCGTCGGAGGCTTTTCAAAGACCTGTTCAAAAGTTTATAACAGAGTTGACTTATCCGCGAAGGCAGGTGACAGAAAATACGAACTATAATTACTTTGCGATGGGACAATTGGGATTTTCGATTCATCAATTTTCGGATGAACCGATTTGGGATGCAATGGTGGGAGCTCCTGGGTGTTACGCCTGGACAGGAACTCCTGTGATGATTTCTGAGAATAAACCGGGAAGACTTAGTTCTTTGATATCTGAAAAATTTGATGACAACACTCAATTAACCGGTAACTACTGTAAAAAATATAAAATATCGAAAATATTACGGAGTGATTACTGAGATTGGGAATTAAATTTAGGGTACAGCGTGACGTCGGGATTTTATTTCGATGATGAGACGAGATGGTACGTCGCGGCGGCTCCTCAGACCAGTGATTTGAAAGGAAAAATCGAAATTTTTCAATACGACGGGAATCATGCCTTCAGAGGAGTGAGAATTGTCAAGGGCATGCAGAACGAAGAGTATTTCGGGGCGTCAGTAACTTCCTGCGACGTTGATAACGACAGGAGAGATGACCTGATAGTTGGAGCTCCATCGTGGAGCGATAAAGGAGATGAGGGACGGATTTATATTATTTCAGCAAGGAGAAATGTAAATGTAACTCTATTTTTATTGGCATGAGATTCTATTGGAAGTGGTGCACTTTGATGATGTTTAATCCATTGAATTCGAGTTGAATAATTTGTTTTAATGGCTCAGGTGTTTGAGAGGAGTTGGATCGATGGTAAATTCGAGGGAGCTCGATTCGGATCGAGTGTTGTATGTCTAGGAGACCTGGATCGCGATGGCTATGGAGATGTTGCTGTTGGTGCACCGTACGAAGATAAATCGGGTGCTGTTTATATTTTCAATGGTGGTCGTTACGGTTTATCTCGAGTGCCAAGTCAAAAGATCCTTGGCAAGGATTTTGGGAGGCTGAGTGGCTTTGGTCTCAGCATATCTGAACCCAGGGATGTCGATGGCAATGGCTACCCTGATGTTGCTGTTGGAGCTTACAGATCGGGACACGCCGTCCTCTTTCGAGCTCAACCAGTCGTTCAAGTGAAAATTAGTTTGAGTTATGTAAACTCAGCGAGACTCAACAGCAATACCACAGACTTTTCTGTTAGATTCTGCGGGTATTACGAAGGATACAGGGTACCTCAGACTCTGAGTAAGTTCTACAAATGCACATCCTATTTCTTCAATTCCAGAATTTTTTAATTTCAGGGGTAATGAGAATTTTTCGAGTGGATGAGGTTCTCCGACGAGGTGTCCTCGACCTACCCCCAACTGATAATGGAACCTACGAAATTGAAGGACTTCTTCATTATGGACGAGAAATTTGTACAGATGTCCCAATAATTCTGCAGGTAATTAACAAATTTAGCATATCACTGGACAGACAATAATTAGCGAATTTTTATGAATTAAACTTCAGGAAGGAACTAAAACCGAGCCAATCGACATATCTGTGTCTCTATCACTGATAAATGAAGCTGTAATAATTAACAAGTTCCGTTCAAAAATCGATGCCACAGTGCGTCTTCCTTTCGACGTAGACTGCGGCTCCGACGACATTTGCATCTCCAATCTGACATCAGAAGTGACAACGTCCCTCGGTCCTGGCAACAATTACATCCTCGGAGGAGAAAAAACTATAAAAATCACCATTGACGTTCGAAACAACGGAGAACCCGCCTACGACACCCAAGTCCACGTACTGCTACCCGATTTTCTCTCCTTGGCGAGCATCAGTTTCGATTGCGAGGAGAAACACCTGATTAATAGATCGATCGAGGTGATCTGCGATATCGGGAATCCACTGCGAAGTCAGGTAACTCCGGAGGATCTCAATTCACTCGTTTTTCGGATTTTCATGGATTTTTTTTTATCGTTTACAGAATTCATTGACACTCGATCTAGCGATGAGTCAAGTGGAAATTGAGTCAGAACTTTTCTCAGAATCTATCCAAGTCCCCATTTACCTCACGACCCAGAGTACAAATATTAATCAACGAGGAAGTAATAATTTATTTATCAATCTTGTGGTCGACGCGAGCGTTGACATCACTGGGTAAATTTATGCACGAATTTAATTCCTCGGCTATTTAATTGGCAATAATAAATACATATATAATAAATAATAAATTTCAGGAGAGCAGAGGAGAGTATTTACTCGTACATCAACTCCTCAGAAGGGGAAAAACTCGATAGGATACGGTTCAGTCATATTTACAACGTTAAAAAATTGGGACTGACTGCCATCGAACAAGCGGCCTTAACTGTCCTGGTCCCAACGCACTTGAGGAATTCTCGAAGCGAAATTATCGAAATAGCTAGAATTAATGCGTCAAGTCTCACGTTTTTTGATTCCACAAGTCGAGAGAACAACGACTACGTCTGCAAGACCGAAAGAATTGAGAACGACAAGAAAATCATCGAAAAGAATTTAAACGCCACAGAAATAGTCTCTTCTCGGAATCGTACGCTTCTCTTGAATTGTGAAAATTCGGAAATAATTTGTGTTAATGTCACGTGCCTCATGGACGTACCGAGAGAATCCGTGAATCCTAATTCTGCAATTGGAGAATTAAAATTAACGATTGATTTTCTTTTAAAAAACGTTCCTGGTGAGTTTCTGATTAATCGAATGTGTGGGAGATTGATTTTATTGAAATAATGATTTATCTCGAAAGCCATCCATTCGACGTGAAAACACCAAAGAACCTTTTCTTCAGTTTCTTAAATTTCCGAGAGAAAAGACTTTTTGGTATTTTCTTCTACAATCGATAGTTTTCGGATAAATCGATGTTCAACTCGATTAAAATCCTATGGATCGTTTTTTAAGACTTTTGAGGTGAATTAAATTAATAGAATAATGAGAAAAATTATTCTTTATGCGGCAGATGAGTTCATGATCTCGAAAGATATAATATACTTCGCATCCAATGCGTCAGTCAGGGTTACTCATCCCTCACGAGGTGGTGAAGTGTCTGGAATGAGAAGAAACTCAGTAATCGTAGGTACTACATTCCTGGAGACTCTGTCAGCTGCTCAAGTTAGCATCTGGATAATTGTAGTCTCAGTGCTCATTGGCATTCTCCTACTGGCACTCCTGATATTCGCTCTTATCAAACTGGGATTCTTCAAGCGAAAGCAAAAAGAAGAGTTAGAGGCACTCAAAGCTGATTCCGACGTAATAAATCATTCCCACTGATTACTCCAATTAAAATTACAGTCGATAATTTTTTTCATTGATTTTCAGGGGAATCAGGACATCCCCTTGGACACGTCTTCATCGAAGGAAAATCTCGATCGATATTAATTATTCCAAAGCCAGCAGTCAATCACTGGAAGATGATTTCTCAGATATTCGATGAGATTTTTGAAAATATCTCGGAAATCACTGGAGATAATCAAATTTTTATGAGAACCTTTTTCATCCGGCTAATCGAGAATTATAAAAAAGGTTATTACAAAAATTGAATCATCTCCCCCCATTTCCGCTATATTTCCGAAAAACTTCCCAGAATGAATGCACCTTCATTTCTAAAATTCATTTTTATTTATAAATATTTTGTATTTAATTATAAATATTTTGTATTTAATATTCTCACAGTGCCATGTGGAGTCGCCTATTGTAAATAATCCCCCCATCACCTCCAAGAACATTAAATTAATGTAAAAAATTCCTAGATATTCTCAACGTGTCGCCCAAAGTGAAAAATAAAAAATAAAACTGAATTCATAAATCTCGGACAGCACGTACGCTCCTTATCTCAGCATGAGAAATAGATTATTCAATCCTTCTTGAAACGTCGCAGATATTTCTGGACACCACATCCTTCCGTCCAACTCTGGCCTCAGCAAGTTCCCTCTTCCTCCTAAATTCCAGTTTTTTTTATCATTTAATCCCAAGAATGTCTCAATATCTAGTGAATTACCTACAGTTTTTTGGAACTATTTTAACTATTTCCTGTGGAGGTGGTGGATACAATCTAGACGTCAAAGGAAGTGTATTGTTCAGTGACCCCAGAGGAAGATCTCACAACAGAGGAAGTTACTTCGGTTTCACTGTTGCACTTTATCCGAGCCCTTCTGATGCTCTGGTGATCGTTGGTGCACCCAGGGCTAACGTCAGTCGATTACCAGGAATTAGAGAACCTGGTGCTGTTTATTATTGTTATTTAAGTGGTACCTGTAAGGAGTGGATACTCCATAAATCGACAAATGGAGAAGTCAAGGGTCTCAATTACGTCAATCAGCGGCTCGATGGTGCCTGGATTGGAGGTACCATCTCCGTGGCGAATGATGTACACCCTGAAGTCGTGGTTCGTTCCAATCTTCTTCTTTTCCCATAAAAAATCCAAACTTTTGATTTCCTCATTAAATCCATTTTAATTGTCATCAATTTTTAAGCTAATATCTCGAAATCCGGGAGTAATTATAATCAAGGCTTTTTTTTAATAATTATTTTCAGATCTGCGCCCCACGTTGGACTAATGTTATTCGTGATATATATTATATGAATGGAATTTGTTATTATACGATAGCAAATAGTACACGAGCGTTTGAGAGACCTGTGGATTCGATAATTAATGTATTTGCGGGTCGTGATTATCAGGTGGCAACGGATTCACGAGGTGTGCCATATCATTTGTGGGGGATGAGTATGTTGGGATTTTCGCTGCATGAATTTAGGGATTTAGATCGTAGGCATCATTTTATGTGTGGAACTCCTGGGTATTACGCATCGAGAGGAAACGCACTGCTGTTCTCCAGGAATGGAAAGAAAACTGAGACGATTTTACCGCCGATGATTGACATACCTCGTGCACGTAGAATTGGTGAGATCGAATTTTGGGGATTGGCTTTTTAGGGATATTCATCTGGAGTGATCGTTTCAGGATACAGCACTACGTCGGGGTTTTATTTCGATGCCAAAAGGAAGGACAGGTGGTACGTTGTTTCGGCCCTTGACAGATTGAGTCTAGCAGCAGCTGTTTTGATATTCCACTTCCAAGGGAACAGGTCTGTGTATGATGGCCTGACAGTGGGGGGAAATGACGTTGGAGAGTTGTTCGGGGCCTCCTTGACCTCCTGCGACGTTGATAACGACAGGAGGGATGATCTGATCGTTGGGGCTCCAACGTGGAGTGATAATGTGGACGAGGGGCGGATTTATATATTTTCAGCGAGGAGAAATTCGATTGTAATTTTATTTTTATTGACACAAGATTCTATTGGAAGGGGTGCGCTTTAATGATGTTTAATCCATTGAATTCGAGTTGAATAATTTGTTTTATTGGTTCAGGGGTTTGAGAGGCGTTGGATCGATGGTAAATTCGAGGGAGCTCAATTCGGATCGAGTGTTGTATGTCTAGGAGACCTGGATCGCGATGGCTATGGAGACGTTGCTGTTGGTGCACCGTACGAAGATAAATCGGGTGCTGTTTATATTTTCAATGGTGGTCGTTACGGTTTATCTCGAGTGCCAAGTCAAAAGATCCTTGGCAAGGATTTTGGGAGGCTGAGTGGCTTTGGTCTCAGCATATCTGAACCCAGGGATGTCGATGGCAATGGCTACCCTGATGTTGCTGTTGGAGCTTACAGATCAGGACACGCTGTTCTCTTTCGAGCTCAACCAGTCGTTGAAGTGAATATTAGTTTGAGCTCTGTGGACTCTGCAAGGCTCAACAGAACTACCACCAACTTCTCTATTAAATTCTGTGGGTACTACGATGGGTACATGGTACCTACGGCTCTGAGTAAGTTATCATACGAACTAATTAATTGTTAGGTCCACTAATTTTTCTTATTTATTTCAGGAGTGGTCAGAATCTTTCGAATCGACGAGGCTTACCAGCGGGCGAGACTCGCCACACATGCAAATGTCAATGGTACATACCAACTCGAAGATGTTCTCTACTACCGAAAAGTACTCTGCACTGAAATTCCAATAGTAATGGACGGTGGGACTAAAACCGAACCCCTGGACATTTCTGTATCCCTCAAACTTCTGAACAACGAGCCGCTCGTTGGCTTCTGCAGAAGGTGTCCGAGGATCAACCAGAAGAGATCGATTATCGAAAAATCATTGCGACTCAACTTTGAATTGGACTGCGGTCCCGATAATGTCTGCCACTCGAATTTAACTCTAGGAGTTTCAACTTCCCTAGGAGAAAGCAACGAGTACATCCTGGGAAATCGAAACATAGTTGATATCTCGATAGATATTAGAAATTATGGAGAACCCGGTTACGACACTAGGGTACGTGTACTATTGCCGGAATTTATTGTTCTGACAAGAGTACCTTCTTCGGCTTCTTATCAATGCATCGAGGAGCCAGTACTCAATGGATCTGTTCAAGTGATTTGCGAGCTGGGAAATCCATTTCGAGTTCAGGTAATTAATTAGTAATTAAAATCGATGAGAAATTTAAATGCCATTCGATAAATTGAGGATTCATGGCTTTCTCATGTTTCAGACAACTCTAAAGTTGGAATTAGACATGAGTCAACTCACAACTGAGTCACAGTTTTACGCAGACTCGATAGACGTGCCCATTAGTCTAACGACTCAAAGTAGAAATGATAATGATCAGAATGCAACTGATAATTTGATTATTCATCTAGTCGTAGACAGCGCTCTGAATATTACTGGGTTCGTCTCGGAATTTGTGGTATTATTTGGGCTTATGATAATTGATTAGATGAAATTAATTTCAGACAAGCAAAGGACAATGTTTACTCCTACTTCAGTACCTCGGAGGAGAACAAACTCGAGATAATTCAGTTCGATCACATTTATGGAGTTCAAAAATTGGGAATAACTCCGATTCAACAGGCGATTTTGATTGTTCTCGTTCCCACGCACTTGAGAAAATCGAAAAATGAAATAGTCGAGATAGCGAGGATAAACGCAACGACTGTGAAATTCTTTGATTCAATTAATCGAAATGATAACGACTACGTTTGTCAAATCGAAAGAGTTGAAGAGAAAGGGAAGAAAATTATGGAGAGGGATTCGAATATTTTGACACAGTCTTTAAACGTTACTCTGAAGAATCGCGCGTTGTTTCTGACCTGTGAAAATGTTGCTATTGACTGCGTTAATGTCACGTGTCTCATAGACGTGCCAAAAGAATCCGTTAATCCCTCTGTAATCGCGGAATTTAAATTAACGATCGATTTGCTGTTGAAAGACGTCACTGGTGAGTCAATAATCAGTTGAACAAGAACGACGAACAATTGAATTGATGAAATAATTAAAAAAAAACGTTTTCCATATGACAGATGATTTTACGACATCGAAGGATATAATATATTTCGTATCAAATGGATCAGCGATGATTACTCACCCCTCACGAGCCGGTGAAAAATCTGGAATGAGGAGAAACTCAACCCTCGTTAGCACTCAATTCCTCGGTACCCCAGTATCAGCACCAGTAGCCAGTTGGGTAATTGCTGTCTCAGTACTCGTCGGAATTCTCCTCCTGGCGCTTCTCATATTCGTCCTTATCAAACTGGGATTCTTCAAGAGAAAGCAGAAAGAGGCACTGGACGCACTCAAGGCAGATTCTGACGTAAATTATTATTTGCCAGCTTTTCAGCTCCGGGAATAATAAACTCTCAGAAAATTAACTCAATGACGATTTTATCCAACTGATGAATCGACTCTCTATTGATTTTCAGAACAAGGAAGGTATATGCATAGAAACAACGTCATCAAAGGAGTGTCTAGATCAAGATTAAACACCAAGAAAAATTCATCCATGAAAATTAATCCATCAAGGACTAATTATCAATTTATTTTTCATTCCTCTGTTTGTGCGACATTTTGAACTTTATCCACTCGTTGCGCTTAACTATTCGAAATAAACTATATATTAACAACAATCTCATATGCTTGATGCTGTCTTAAGGCCACAAAAATATTTATAAAAATATAAGTCGGAGTAATTACTGGCGATCAGATCTACCGCTCCATCAAGCGAATATAATTTATTTTCACAGTGGAGTCGATTAATTTGTGCTCCTTAATTAAAGCCTAAGGATTCAAAAATATTCCACGAGCATTTGTGCTGAATTCCTCCATAATTATGCAATTAGGCTCTCAATTATCTCAATTCGTCGAGTAAAATTTTGTCAGATTTGAATTAATAACATTAAAAGCGTCTGGAATTTAATCCTCATCGTCACCGAGTCCCAATCCCCTGGAAATATCAGCAGCACTCAATTTACCACCACCTGGAGGTGGCGGAGTTGATGGTTTGGGTGGAGGTGGTGGATCATTCCTCGGTGGCCCATAATTCTGGGAATAATGAGGTGGCGGCTGCGGGGAGAACTGACGCTCGTCACCATGGGAATTCTATAGATACAGAACACTTATTGATCCCTAATCCCATTTTAAAAAATCTCAGAATTCAAATTTACACCTCAAAGCCGAGAAATTGGCAGATGCAGTCAATAAATTCGGAATAAAAAGCAAGAAATTGGCGTAAAAATGATTTATTCCGTAAAATTCTACAAGACGACCCAAAAATATGAATAAAAAAAGAATTTTAAGTAATTAAATTAGTCATGCGATAGTACAGTGTCTTTTCTCAGGGTTTAATCAGCATAAAATAAAGTAATCATCAAATAAATAAATAAGAAATTATATAAAAAATATTTTCACTCATATTAAAGCTCTAAAAAGCTCATAGTTGCTCCAGAAAGGTGTTAAACCTCATGCGGTGATAGATAAATAAATTAAAATAGTGTTAAAGCATAAAAAGCGATAGAAATTGGCGGTAAAGTTCTAAATTTTTCGTTCCCTGGCATCCCTCATTTTTCTACTCACTCGTTTGCTGAGACTATCGAGTGCAGAGCTGAAGAGAGCGGTGCCAATGCCACTGAGAAGATCAGAGCTGCCTGAACCCTGATTGTATCCACCAGATTGTGTGTAACCCCCACTGGGCTGATAACCTGGTTGCTGATTACCACCGCCGCCTCCAAGAACACCCCCCAGAATCGATCCAAGTCCTCCCAGAGGATCATTGGGCTGTTGAGGAGGTGGATAATTGGGGCTGCGAGAGCCACCACCGAGTGCTCCAAGAATTGATCCCATCATGTCACCACCTCCTTGGGGTGGATAACCAGGTTGGTGTCTGTTGTCCCCAGACAGAGCATTGGAGACTAGACTGCTGGCCAGGGCTGATCCCAGGGCTCCAAGATTTAATCCACCACCTTCACTCTCTGTCTTTGAGCCCTGGACTTTCTCATGATCTGTCTCTTTGTCGTGCTCCTTCCTCTTGTTGTAGGCATGGACAGCAGCAGCAACACCTCCAGCAGCGACCAATCCACCAATAGCCAGTCCTACTTTATCCAAACAGCCACCGAATGCCTCCTCCTCCTCAGCTTTCTCGTATCCCGGTTGATAGCCGTACGGCTTGGGAGGATTATAACCACCCCCTGGGGGACCATACCCTCCAGGGGGAGGTCCATAACCTCCCTGAGGTGCTGATGGAGCCTGAGGGTTCAGGGTGGGATAAAGTCCTCCAGGACCTACCGAAAATCCACCCCCAAAAAAAATATAGTAAAAATTGTGTTTCTCTGTTTAAATCCGGTTATATCTCGCGCAGGAGTGGTTTTAGGGGAAAAGGTCAGAGGAATTTTCTCCAGAGGATGATATTCCCCGCAAAAAATTCTTCTGATATTTTTCTCTAAATACCGTCACTCGGAAAATATATCGAGGGAAACCCACCGGGTGGTCCAAAGTCAGCAGCAGGTACGTCACCGGCACTGGCCATCCTAGGGGACCTGGGGGCCCCAATATTCTCGTAAGAAATACTCGTGATCTCGACGTCACCATCGATTACGAGGTGGGTGACTTTCTGATAAGGCAGACGATGCCCGAACTCCGCGAAGTGACGTCCATTGATTGCAATTTTGTACTGCAGTGGTTCACAGAGTAGAATCACCTCGAAATCCTGACCAGGCTGAAGCACCAGGGGTCCACCGTTCTCCTCAGGACCCCAGGACATCGACTGAATGTGATTTCGAGTGATAAAACCATCACTGAATCGAGGAGACAAGTGGATCGCAATGTCATCCCTTGGATTTAGATTGGGGCCCAATTGATAATTAATAGCAAAGCGAACTGCATTCGAAGGAATTTTCCCCTGGATCTTCACCATCTTCCCAGGGGCAAGACCCCCCACTTCTCCCACGTAAGGAACATCCTAAGGAACCATCAATTGTTCATTGTCATGATATTTTGTGGAATAAATAATAAATTGCCGGAGAAGTCTTCGAAATTTTATACCGAAATCAATGCAATACATCAATACAGATTTTATTTTCGTAATAATTCTGTACAGAGGTATTTACAGACCTGTTTTGACAGTGGCCTTGAGGTCTCACCAGATACCAAAATACAAATAAACCGATGTACAATCCCCTCTCGAAATTCCTAATCTTCTCTAATAATCCAATCGATCCAATTTACCCAGTGGCTAAATCATGATTTACATTTTGAAAATTATCCGGCCTTCGGAGAGACCATTAAAATCCCACACTCACTCCGATGCAATTATCCGAGTAAGACGGTTAAGTCAATCTCAGGAATGAACTTGTAAATGATGAAAATAAATGAAAAATTGAAAACTCGAAATCTAGAAATTAAATCCGATGACAGGAATGAAAATTAATGTCATCGTAACGCCACAACAATTTCAATGCCACGAAAATAAGGTCAGGTAATTAATTCTTATGAGGATCATCAGATCATCGGATCATCAGATCATCAGAGGATTGAAATTCCATTGAATGACTGGAGTGTTAGGGGAATTGGAAATTTGGAGCTTTAATTACTCACAGGATTTAATACAGGCGATGCCATGGTGTTGCTGATTGTCTTGATGACACCTGATTTCAGGTTTCTTTCGATATCTTGGATTTTTTTTTAAGGAATTTCCTGGGAAAAACCGCAGTGCGCAGAGGAAGACATTCACTTCAGGACTGGACTATTTACAGTGATGACGTTCCTCCAGATGGTTTTTACCCAGGAGACCTAGGGTAATCTAGATTCCTAGATAACCGTCGGAAGAACGAATTTTTATTATTCCCCGATGATAAACGGTTGATCCTTTTGAGTGGTTTTCAAAATTTCGAAAATCTCAATTTCAATAATAATTATCAATTTTTCTAATTTTCCAATTTTTCAATTTTCCAATTTTCCAAAATTTCAGAGGAGAAAATTGCATTTTCAATTTTTGAACTTTATTGTCATTACATATTATTATAAATTATGTGCAATCATAAATTTTGTGGGATATAGTATAATGAATAAATATTGAATTTTTAAAAATATAATCGACGAATTGAAGTGATAAAATGGCAGAAAAAAATGCAGGAAGTCTTGCGTTATTACACGTCGAGTACTTTAATTGCACTGTCCACTTGTCCTTTATGAAGGGATTAATTAGCACGCGACAATTTCCACCCACACGTGGGCAATTTTCTAATTCAACTAAAATGATATCTTGAAAAAATTGTGGGAAAACGGGAATTCATTCAGACCATCAGGAAAAAATGATAAAAACTCTGATGATCATTTTTTAAATACCGATAAAATTATTCCCGATCGGAGGCTGAGCTGATAGAAGTCATGAAGCGATTGACAATGAAAATTATTTGAAGCGTTACGATGCCTCGCCCTGAGTCGCACCCACAGCGCAATAAAGGACACGTCAATTGAGATGAATGAATTCACTGAAAAAGGGAATAAAGACGTTACCACATGAACAGTGAAATCCTCGATTTTATAGTCGAGGGAATAATCGACTTGAGTCCCAGTTCCAAAGATGCGGGTGCCCGTCCACTTTTATCACTGGCCCAAAACCGAGAACTAGATTAAAATCATTCCAATAAATCCGTTGATTAAAAAAAATGCCCCTGAAACCGTCAAATTATTAAATAAAATACCCATCAACCCTAAATTTATAAAAAATCATGAACTCCATTTGTTCAACATATAAAATAAACAAATCTGTTGATAATTATGCAATAACGAAATTACTCCCAGAAAATTCGCAAGAAATAAAAAATAACAAATAACAAATTAATTGTTAATGATAATTCATGTAAAACTCGTTTGTGCGTTCTTCACAATAAATTGCGTCTCGCTTTTTTTTTTTTTAATCCAGGGTCTTGTGTACAGGGGCCTTCATCAGGATCAATAGGTAACCGGACCCTTAGCCCTCCACCTCCCCTGTTCCATCTCCATTCTTTATCTCGGCTTCAAAATACATGTCTATCCCCTGGATACAAGAGATTCTCTCATTCTCTGCACGTGGATACCTCCACTAGGTGAATTTATCGGGCTTCGAGGTGGAAGTACAATGAAATAAAAAGAAGAAAAAAAAAAAGGAGAAACGTCAGCTGTCGCGGTCACGAGGTACACGTGCACCCCATGTGAATAAAGCGGAAAGTGCATATTCGGATTGAAAATAAAAAAAAAAGAAAAATACGATGTGCAACCGATTTTTTATAGCAATAATTAAATTTTTGCCAATGAAAATCGTCACGACACGAGAAAAAATTAACAATTTCCCTCATGACGAAACGACTCCCCAATAATAATTTTATTATTATTATTATTATTGTTTTTAATTAATGGATTAATGAGCGCCGCGCGTATTTGTTAATTAACCAATTGTTTATTTGAATGGGGAAATGATTGTTTAATTGCGGTGGAGTAATGGAGAGAGAAAGAGTCGAGAGAAAAATCATCTCGTGATTCGGTTAATTGTTATTAATTTATTTAGCAACAAATTGCCCCCGATGATAATTCATCATTAAACCTCGAGGACAATCGACTAGTTACGTGAATCGACGTGCAATAAATGAATATTGCAATCGTTACGCGGTTTCCGAACTTCCGGTTGCAATCGGCAATTCAAAATTTCATTGACCTCTCGTTCCCTCGGATTTTTAATAATAATCGAGTAGAATTAATCAGTGGAAATTATTATAGGGTAATTGAAGGAACTCGCGTTTTTGAAAAAAAAAAATCGGGAGATGCGCGCGCATCCGTTTGAACGCGAACCCGCGATATTTTCAGTGGCTGTTTCAGTTTGTCGCAGCGCGTAGCAACCGACGGTTGCTTTAACGACACCAGAACAAATTCCTATCAATGAGCTTTCGATTTTATTGATTAATATTAAATAGTGGGTGATTGTTGCTATTGTTGTTGTTGTTGGGATTTTATCCGCGTGTTTCTGATTGAATCCGTTCTTCGCGATTAATTTTAATGAACACCTGGATTAAATTGAGGTGAATATTATTGTATCCCCATCCGGATCATAATAATACCAATAATTTAAAGTGCAATTACGTGGGAATTAATTGACTGATTAGTGATTAGTTCGCGGAATATTTCGTGATAAAATCGATTTTTATGGAGTGAAATCAAAATTTTTCTTTAAGATTTCCATGACTGATGATTTGGGAATATTAATATTAATTCATGCGTTATCTTAATTAGAGTTTTCTATTCTTATCGAGTAATATATTCGTCGTTATCACTGAAGGAGATAATGGATTTTGAGCGGTCGTTAACTGGGGATTTGAATCTGAGATTTCCCCGGTTTTCTTTTGAATTCTCTTGAACGTATCGCTTGAATGAAAAATCGTTACATTCTGAATCTGAATAGAGCACTTACTCCACAGATTATTGTATCAGGTTTTAGTGTCTCTTATGGATGAAGATGAGGTCAAGGGTTAACGCCGGAGATAAGACGCGTATCTGCGGAGGAGTCACGAATTTCCGTTTGAGAATTTTATTTCGTACTTGACCCTTTCAAATTTAAAATAATCCCCAGAAAAAATTCTAGTAAATAAAAAACAATATTCGCTAAAATTGTTAAAAACCTCCGCTAAATATTTGATTGAACAAATTAATTCTATTTGATTAAGAGTATATTTATTTGTTTTCACTAAAAATTCATTAAAAAACATTAAATTAACGCGGAACTATCAGAGGATTGGATTAATTAAATAGATAATTTAATTAATAAGTATTTTTCATTGATTTAGAATAAACTAATTGGTTTACTGTATTTTCCTAAATTTTTGTCTCAGTGCAGGAGAAAAGTAAATCCCCTCATGACGCAATTGCCGGAACGTCACGTGTTCTCGACTATTTTCTGCATTATTTTATCAACAATCCGTGGAACCAGTAAAATTATCCACTTCCTGTTGATTTTCACATTTATTCATTAACTTTTTGGCGAAAAAAAAACACAATAAAACAATTATTCCTTCGAGAAAAATTTTATTGCGAATGTGTAGTTTGGGAAAAGGGCTGAGACAATTTTTATATTCCTCAGTATTTTATTTAAAAAATGATTTTGTTGGACAGAGTGGAGGAGACGAGTGCCTCCTTAATTGATCTTAATTACGTCTTAGTAGTCGCCTCGTATTACAAACTGAGTCATCACGAAAAATTCAGTGACAGAAGTTTACCAGCTGGAGGAATTTTATTTCCGTTTTACTCGGGTGTATAAATCGACACGAATGTTTAACTTCATTCAGACATCACAACGGAGAATTTAATTGTTTACAGAGCAAATTCAAACAGGAGAATGAAAAATTACTGGGAACACAATCGGAGTTAAATTGAGTTGCCCCAGGGAAGAATAATAAACAAGATTTGATTCCCAATGAATGATAACTTCAAGATTTATCAATCCTGAGAATTTCATTTCGTTGATTAGTTTTTACACCGAAAGAAAACAATTTATTAATTTAATACCAAAGTGATAAAGACAAATCAGTGAATTCCACTCACCGGTTAGTTTTTTGGGAATATTCTCGTAACGGAAGGAGATACCGAAATTTATCAAATTACCTTTTTTCTAGGTCTCAATTACCTCTAGAAAAAAGGTCATAATAAAAAATTCAGTATCTTTCTCGGGTTCCGAGATATTTTTAAAAAACTCAGCGAATCGACTGTTTTTATTGATTCGCCGCTGAATAAAATAGCGTTTATATTTTAAACAAATGAAAATTAAAGTAGGAGGATTAAAAAATGGTGAGGGGAGTTGAAGAGTGAAATTGCATAAAAAAAATTACCAATGCAGTGTATGAAATTAGCATTTGTCTGAAAAGGGATTAATCAAGTTATCTTTATCTAGTTCTGCATCTACAGATTGAACAAGTCCGTTGCACGCGATGGGGTAGATAAAATCGAGGGGTGAAATGAATCATTGTAATGAAAGGGACAACGGATCGATATGAGAATTTCCCCTCCACTGAACGGCTTTTTTCCCCTCTTATATTTTCAGAGCACGCGTACAAAGAATTGGTGGCAGTGGAGATTCAGCTGGCCAGCAGTGGAGATGCTGGTGAAGAAGTGAGCTGAGGACGATGAAAACGCGGTGGTTAGCATGATTAAAAATCGAAGCTGGGGAATTGTCCTGTTTCTTCTGATTTTTCAAGTGCTCGAGGCTGTCACTGTTGTTGATCACTCATCCGACGACGATTACGTACTTGAACACGAAGTATCCTACGATGAGGCACTCGAGAAGGCGAGGGAACTCACCTTGTCAAAAGGTAATGATTGGTTGATTGGGGATTCTGTTTAATTGAACGGGAACTCATCAGCCAGAATTTATTCGTCAGAAAACAACATTTCGATAGTCTGGTCGGTTTTTAGGTAATATCTCCCGAACTAGGGGAGACTGGAAAATTTTATAGGGACCTTTTTTGTAGCTCTTGGAATTCTCAACAAAAAGTTCCTTTCATTTTTTTTCGTATCTCTATTATATTCCGGGATATTCGAGGAGCGCTGAAGGGGAAAATCTAAAAATCGATTTTTCGGTTTTTAACATTTTATGCCGATCTTTGCCGGATATCTTCAGATCTAGTGAAGATGGAGAAAATTTGTAGGAATCTTTTCTGTAGCTCTTGAAATTCCCTACAAAAAATTCAGAATCCATTTTTCAATGGCTCCATTATATTCTGAGATATTCGGAGAAATCTGAAGTGAAACATGTGACAAATTATCTCTAAAATTCGCACTTATTGCAACGACAGTTTGAGGTCTTTTTATCGTTGTGAATAAATAACCCAGTGTCCCCCGACTGGTAAAAAGATATCATACCCCAGGTGTTCTAACCGACTAGATAAAAATCTCAAAAAATAAAACGGAATAATCCCGAGTTATTGAAATTAAACGCATGTCCTCGTATTGCAAAACAATCGTCAATTAATGTGTACCCATTCCCCAGAAAATTCGTGTAATTTATCCATTAATTGGTAACGACTGACGGTAATTGCAAGATGAATTAACCCTCGATTTTTTATTATTTCCTCAGGCCCCATTCCTGGGTGCAGATCCTGCACACACGACGAGATGACGTACTGCAAGGACGGAAGTGTCATCAGCGATCATTGTTGCTGTGACGGTGGTTACCACAGTGCGTTTTTTTATTCTTTTCTTCAACTGGATTTTACGTGATTCCAAATTTCCGGTGGATTTATTGTTCGCACTCATTACGTCGATAAAAACGAATCAAAAGTCATCGCGAAAAATTACATCGAAAGATTTTCCTCGCCTTCTCGATAAATCAGTAGCAAAAGCCTACAGCGAACGAAAAATAATAATAATAAATAAATTTTGATACTTTTGTAATGCTGTGTCATTAGACCTTCGGTAATGGGATCAGCTGTCAACTCGTGCGTGAAATATCCGAATGTAAACGAAGAAAAACTCATTTTGTCATCGAATTACGGAAGAATCGGATTGAACAATCGATTATATACGTCGGTTGAGAAAAAATGACACGGTTTTGCTTCAGGTATCGAAATACTTCGATATCTCCATTCGATAAGTAATAAATGAGATTAAAACGTCAAAATCCACTGGCGATACGATGGACTAAAAAAAATCGGGTGTTATTTGCTGATTATCTCGAGAACAACAGACCCCATGGAGAAATTTCATTAGACTTTTTTGGAGAGAATTAAATATTCAACAAAAAGTTTCGAATAATATTTTTCGATGGGTGGACGGTATAAGAGGTAATGAGCTCAAACTGTTGCAATTTTGAGGGGTAGAGAATTGAAAGAGTCTTGTGCATCGATAAGTTGGCACGGAGTCACAAAGTGCAAGGGAATCCAATAGAATTGCATTACTGCACGCAATGCCAACGTGTCTAGAATATCTGCAATAGAATACCGATCAATAAGGAAGGGTCAGGCATTCGGATTGTCTAAGAGGACAGTAAAATGTGAAAAATGTCTCCCGAGAATTTAAAAACATCTCAATTTTTCCTGTTTTCCTTTTTCTGTAAGACACTTTGGATGGATGAGGACGAGACAGCGGGTCTCGACACATCAGCCTCTTATCCGGAATTGATAAACCACCGGAAGAACCCCACCTCGTCGATGATATAATACAAGACGTCGTTACAGTTCGATGAACCCGAATTTATTCCGTCCCATATGGTCTATTTAATTTTCCTGTGGCATTAATTCCGTTCCTCCATCCCGAATGCGTATGGAGGATTAAATACAGAAGCTTCAGGCGCTCATTATGTGTGTAATGATCCGATCGATCGTGGAATAATTATTAAAGAGGATTGGAATCTATTCGATTCGGTTTTCGATTAATGAAAGACATTATTTGTGTATTTGTTTGAGAATATCTCGGAAACTGACGGGTTTAGAGGAGAGGGTTGTGAGGGCTTTTTTGTAGAGAACTTCGTGATCTCCAAAAAAGGTGGTATCACATTTTTCGATAAACCTGATAGTGTAGGAGATATGAGTGAAGTAGTGGGTGTCGATTTTTTCGATTAATCAGATTTTGAGTTTTGATGATTGGGTAATTGTTTTTTAAATTTTCAGAGGCATTCCCTTTTGTCCAGCACACATGTAGAGTTGGTAAAAAGGTGTGTACAGTGTTAGCTGGGGATTGTGCTGAGTACGAGAGACTCAGGGAGTGCTGTTGCCATTCATACCTCGGCTCGGATTGTAAGTGGGAAAATATAATTGATAATTCCTCGAATATTTCCGAATCAACAAGAGATGAGGTCATACTCATAAGGACCTTTTCTGGAGCTCATGAAATCTTCTCCAGAAAATGTATCTACTAAAATTCCGTTATCTCCCCTCAATTCCGAGATATTCGAGAGAGTTTCTCCCATTTAATTAATATTGAACAATTTATTCTCAGGGAAATATCGAGCTGGTGGAGCTGAAGCCATAAAACCTCCAGTCCTCATGACAGGTGGACTACTGTTGCTCCTTGGATACCTCTGGAGGTTCCTCAAAGCCCTATAGAGTTATACTATTTTATACTGCCTGCTTATAATCGAATAAATTATTTTTACATCGCCACGACTGCAAAATCCATAAAATCCCCAAGAAAAATCAAAAGAATTGTCTCCAGACATGCGATCTATTGTCATCTGGGGATTGAATAAATGTCGGAATTTCCACGTGGGAACGAGAGAATAGTTCTCAGACAATTGCAAATGTCAAAAAAATGTAAACAGAACGTGTTGGCAAGCCACGAGTTGAGGACGAAGATAAAATGGACAAGAGAATTGTCACATTCTTTCTCCATGAACAAAGGCAATTAAAAGTACTGATTGAGCAATACGTACATAAAATTGATATAATTGACAATCATTGAACATACATACTTTGTATAACTCCCAATTCACGTCGCGCTCGCCAGAAAATCATTCAGTATTTACATTTATAAGCTAATCAAATCTCTTCTCTTTATTAATTGGTACGTGGTTTTTTCTCTGGCGGTGGTCGCATGTCTTTTTTATCAGTCTTCTCTTGCTTGACTTCAACGGCTGAAAAATGTAGACAGTAAGAAATCAATTTTACCCAGTTACCTATTTCGAATTTTTTTCAATTCAAAATTGCACTCACGAGGATCAGCTGGGGGCTGCGCAGGTTTCGGCACAGGCAGTGGAAATTTCCTGGTGATTTCAGCGAGCAACATATCGACTCTCTGCCGTTGAAATAGAGAGCTGGGTTCCTCCCTCGAAGGCACTTCCTTCTTCGCAGTCAGAGACTTTCCATTTTTAAAGTCCCAGGAGTAGCCCTTGCTCGGGTGATATCTCGAGCAGGCGCTCGCCTCCTCGAAAGCTGTTTGAAGATGATGAATTGTGGATAACTGCGGAAAAAAGAGTTATTGAATATTTAATTAATGAAAATAGGATTAATTAGGGAGTTTGGGGAATTGATTGAAGATTATTATTATTATTCAGTCGAACTACTCACCAGTCTCGAATTGACGACGGACGCAAGATCAGGGGCTTGATAAACAACTCCGGCGATGATGTAGTAATCAGCGAGTGGAGTAACCTGAGTAGGTGAATACCGATTTTGTTTTCTTATCACGTATAAAATCGGCTCCTGTACGTGAAGTAGAATGTATTCGAGTCCTGTCATGCTCCTTGAAATGAATAAAAAATGGAGATTAAATCAATGCCTGAAATGGAATTACTATTAATAAATCATTATCATAATGTATTTTTACGAAATTCAACCCAAAGATTGCGTTGGATTAATTTACATTAAATTAATTTTGATTAAGCCTAGGGAATAAGAACAAAGATCAAATTAGGAAATATTCTTAGGACTCACTGAAGTTGTTCTGGATTGAGCCTCTGCATTTTGATGAGTGCATTATTGCAAGAGCTGTCATAAAATGGATTGCTTCTTTCTGAGAAATAATCCATGATGTTGCTGGGGTTCAGGATTGGAATCCAGGCACTGTCATGCCAGGACAGCCCCAGAGGATTATCTGTTTCATAATAAATAATTTGCGAGGTTATGCCATCAATTCCACTGTCTTTTCAAAAATAAGTCCCAATACTTCATGATTCAATTAAAATAGACTCACCAGGTCTCGCAGACATCATCGTCACTGATTAAACAATTTAATAATTTAATCCTCTTGACAATATTTGGGAAATTAATGGGACGTAAACAACTCGAGTCGAATGTTTTTGTGCTGATAAGGACGAAAACTCCACGAGTGACGCCCACTGCACAAAAAATAAATAACCTCTATGAAAATGAATTCTGACAATTCGTAAATTCAAGGATTCGTTTATCAATATTTAAAGTTATTTATTTTTATATAGGATGGAATTTTTTAAGTGATATTAGGGGATAATAGAGGCCTTCAAGATGATGCAACAGTATATGAAGGAACTCGAACAGGTAAAATCAACAATGAAGTCAATAAAAGAAGAAGAGAATTCTTGTTTTCCTATTTATCATGTTCATTTATTTGTTTGATTAATTCTCCGGGATTTTTAATGATTGTAGAATAATCTATATAATCTATAGCATTTAAAAAATGGATTGATAAATTATTTCCTCAGGAACCTTTCGACCCTGAGGAATTCGTGGAGCGTTTGGCATGGAGAACAGTAAATGATTCAGTGGTGGATGGCCTGAAGGGGAGTTTCGATCCAGTTCTAGTGCACGAGACATTCGTCCACGCGATCAAGGACCTCCAGATCCTGGAGGAGCGCCAGCAGAAAAAATGCGAGAGATTGGAGGTGGCACTGAAGGACGAAGACAGCAGACACACCCTCGAGATAATCGACCTTCAGGATAAGAATAAAAGGGGAATGGAACTCTTCCATCAGCTGGACGAGAGGATAAATTTCGTTGCAACGAAAGTGCTGCACTTGGGGGACCAGTTGGAGAGTGTCAATACCCCAAGGGCCAGAGCGGTCGAGGCCCAGAAGTTGATGAGACACTTCTCCGAGTTCCTGAGTCCTGGACCTCTGACTGATCCCATATTCACGGATAAATCGACTCTAGACGTCGCAGCAGATGTCATCCAAAAGCTTCACCTGATATCCCAGGAGTTGCCCTCCGATAAATTTAATGACGCTAAGGAGAAAATCTCGTCGAAGTACGATGAGATAGAGAAGAGTTTAATCGAAGAATTCGTTAGGGCCCACAACAGCGACGACGCAGAGCGAATGAAGGAGTTGGCAAGTGTGTTATCACACTTCAAAGGATATTCCCAGTGCATAAATGCTTTTATAGAGCAGAGCAGGATGGCGTCTTTCGGTTCAAAAGATGTTTTTCTCAACGTCATCCCCATGTGCCAGAAAAACTACAAATTGATGCAGCAGGTATTCTCGAATCCTGAACAGGTGATGGCGAAATTTGTCCTCAATATTTATCACCTGAGACTGCAGAAATACGCAGTTGCAAAATTGAGTGATCAATCGGACTCTGACAAATACCTGAGTAACTTGCACGATCTGTACTCGAAGACAACGAAACTCTCGATGGACTTGAGGCAATTTGACATGGGAACCGACGAGGCCTATCTCACGAAATTAACTCGAAATATATTTCAGAAGCACTTGGACACGTACCCAAGTATCGAGCTCAAAGCCCTGAGGGAGAGATCAGCGGCACTGCTGATGGAGTACTACGAGTCGAAGAATCACCAGAAGAAGCAGCTGCAGACTGGTGGTTTTCAGGAGCTCAGACGTGATTTGCAGGCAGTGCTTGGTACCAGAACGAATATTAATATTGCCCAGATCGAGGATTACGGTGGTGAGACATTTCTCTCGGAGGAACTGGCGATTGCACTACTCCAGAGGTGTAAACTCGCCTGTCAGAGGTGCCAGACACTCTCCCAGCCAGCCGATCTCCCCCTCAATGCCCTCATGATCCTGGAGATTCTTCTCCAGCACTTGATGATCGAGCACGTTGATTATGCCCTGGAGTTGGGACTCCAGAGTGTTCCCATTCCTGAAAGCAGAACACCCCCTGACATTCACTTCTTCAGAGTTGCCAGGCAGTGCAATGTGATTGTTAAACTTCTCGAGGAGCAGTTTAACGACAGTCTAGTGCCTCTCGTTATCTCCACACCGAAGCATGGAGACTGCCTGGCGAGACAGAAATCGGTTCTCCTTCAGATCGAGATGAAACTCGACACTGGCCTCGACAGGAGCATCAATGCTATAGTGGGATGGGTCAGAATGTACCTTCAGAGTGAGCAGAAGAAAACAGATTTTAAACCTGAGGGGGATGTCGACACCCTCAGCACACCTGCTTGTCTGGCTGTTGTTCAGTACGTCACCAGCATGATCAGGCACATCAGGGACAGTCTCGATGGCAAGAACTGTGAGAATGTCATGATGGAGCTTGGCATCAGATTTCACAGAGTCATCTACGAGCATCTCCAAAGCTTTCAGTTCAATTCTGCTGGTGCCATGTGTGCTATATGCGATATGAATGAGTACAGAAAATGCGTTAAGGAGCTCGGGGTGGGAATCGTCAGTTCCTTATTCGATACTCTTCATGCTCTCTGCAATTTACTGCTGGTAAAACCTGCCAATCTCATGCAGGTCTGCACTGGAGATCAGCTGGTGAGTTACTGGATTCTCCAGAATCGTAAAGATCTTTCTCATTAGATTACGAATTATTACAACATATTCATTTTTTTTTTGTCATTTGCAGGCGATACTGGATCGAGCAACTCTCGTCAGTTTTATTCAACTGAGAACGGACTACAAGACTCAGAAGTTAGCTAATTTCCTCAAAGGCCTTGCAACGACATAAAAATTAATGAACGAAAAATGAATTTTTGGAACAAGAGGGAAAATAAGGAAAAGGGGTATTAAAAATAATGAACGACTTGTTACCGTATTAAACGTATCAACCTTCTTATTTCTTTCACTTTTGCTTTTTTTTTCCTATAATAGTAACTATGGAGTTTGGTGATGTCACCGGTACAATTCTCATCAGTACAATGCCTCGATAAAAAATCTTCGATCAACTCAACGTACTGTACCTTAAAAATTATCAATTCATGGAGTTTTATCATTCGTTAATTCTTCTTTCTCATTGTTTATAAATAAAAGCCTAAATTTTAAATGTGTAAGTCCTAAAATCCGCAGAGTTCACTTGATCGATATCGGGAGGGTTCAGTGATCCCCACGAGAACAAAATCATTCTTAATTCTTCAGGAATTTGTTTTCTTTGAAGATGCAGCAGCATTCTATTTATCGGAAGAGATGTCGCAGCATCCAGTGATATTTTCCCAGTATAGTGGGCCAGTGGAGTGAGGGGATGAGTCCCATAATCAATTTTTAATTGATTTTTAAAACATACCTGGAGATTTGAGGGTGATAGCTCGGCAGGAAAGAGATAAATTGAACAATTCCAATATCTAGTAAAAACTCTCAGCCCAGGCAATGTACCAATCGAGAATAATCCAGAATAATTCATAAGAATTCCTTTCCTCCAGAGTGAAAAAACTCTCCACCCCCAGGCAATCCCCCCACAACAAAAATAAGAAAAAATCCTCCCCAATCAGCGCATGCGATAAGTATTGGTCTCGTGCACTTGACACAATTCTCCCTTGAAGTCGAGTTCAATGTTGAAATCGAGATCTCGATAATTCCTCGCATTGGGTTTCATGGAGAATACACCGTAGATCTCCTCTCCTTTCTTGACAGTCATGTACTCATCGAAATAGAAAACCGTTTGCTTCCAGTGGGTGTACTGGACCTCAGGGGCTGTGCTGAAACCAATTCGCTTGTGGCACTTGGTGAATTCAATATTGAAGAAGGTAACTAGAGCCTGAACGTAGTCATTTCTTCGCACCTGAAGTGTGAATGGAGATGCAAATTCAAGATCTGCTTTGGTGACAGTGTAAAGATCAACTTCCTTGATGAGACAGGCATTTGTGACGACTTGTTTTGGATCAACGACGTCGACGAGAGGTTCGCTAATGGCCACTTTACGAATGGAGCTCATATCGAAGCCGTAGACGTCGTCCCACCAGTTGATCTTCTCGTCCTTGTACTGGCGATCCTCTATTCCACAGATGTACAGAGTAGCTTTGTCAGGGAAGAGCATTCCATCCTCCTTGAGCCACTTGTCCCTGGCGAAGAGGACAGTGTCCAGCATGGACTCGTAGAAGAGGCAGTAACCCATCCACTCCGAAATAATGATGTCAACTTTTTCGATACCATGGGGCAGCACCACTTCCTCGACTTTACCCTTGAGAATTGTCACTACGTGGGACATGTGATTGGCATCGACAATTTTCTCAGCGTACTCTACGATGTTTGAACACTCGATGCCGATTACTCTAGCAGCACCTGCCTTCGCCGCAAACATCGACAGAATTCCTGTACCACAGCCGATGTCCAGAACAACCTTGTCCTTGAACAGATGCTTGTTGTGGTACATCGAGTTACGGTACGTCATCGTGCGCACCTCGTCCTTCAGCATCTCCTCGTGGATGGCGTAGTGGGCGTAGGAGTCGAAGTAATAATCTCGAGATGTCATCTCATCCACTGGAACTTTGTTGTTCGTCAGGGCTGCCTGGGGAACCTCCTTCGGTGGAGCTGCGGATTCACCCACTTCCATGGTCTCCATTTTTGAGGGCTACAGAAAATTTTCCAGTTTTTTCATCGAGAGTTGTTATTCAAAAATCGTTTAAAATACACAGTCGGGTTTTAATGAAAAATTAATGAAAGTAAATATAAACAGGAAATTTCAGTTTGCAAAAAAAAGAGCATCGTATTATCCATCATTTGTTATCATGCGATGATTATGAAATTTCCCATGGCAATACGATCCCAATAAATAACAAAATAATCGAGATTTCACTGTTAATTAAATCGCCCTCTAATTATCATTTCCCCTACAGTTTTCCGATGATGATGAATTTTAATTGATTATCCCAGCGTCCACGTGCCCGCCAAAAAGACTGACGTCCATTTTGCGAGAGTTGGTAAGAAACACATCGAACAAAGCACGAGTGATTACCACCAAAAAAAAATCATCATTAACTCAATCAGGCTGATGAGCTTCGAGGAGAAATTTCACGACGAGGGGAAGACTAATATTTTTTTTTGGAGCCAGAGAGCATGCTCCCAAAATTGCAATTGGAAATGTCCCATGGGAAAATTGTTGATGGATAATCGGGGATTTTTCGGGGTTGGGGTTGATGACTCGGGGAGAGAAATTGCTCGAAATTTTGGTGGAGTTATCGGGAGGGGGTGGTGGGATAATTGATAAAATACTTACATTGATCTCGTTGACTAATGTATCGTTTTCGCCGATGTCTGCCGGCACTTCGTTAACCTCCGCCATTTTGCTTGAGCGTCCTAACGATGCGGTAAAGATTGAAGGTGAATTTCCATCACTACAAAGATAAAACTGGATTTCTACGAAAGAAGTACATCCCAGCTCCAAAAGATGTCGTAAAAAGTTCAAAATTGAAAATAAATATATTCTATCTTCAATTCATCAATTTCCATTAATAATAATAATAACAATGTTCTATTATTTTTTCATAAAGACGTAATTGTGGCTGGAAAAAAGGTGAATATTTAGGACTGAAAAATGTGAGTTAGTAAGGAAATGGGCTTCTAACATTGAAGAATAAGTGAGTAAATTTGCAGTTGTGATTTTAGTAAATGATTTATGTATTCAAAATTTCTATACATAAGAGGGAATGCTGAAATTACATGACTCCATATTCTTAGATCTAGATGACATTCCGTTAATCCCATTGATACTCGAATAATACAACTTATGATATAAATTATCTTCGATTTTTTGGCTCAGAAAAGCAAAATTGTTGATTATCAACTAATAATTATGGATAGAAAACTCTCTCGTACATGAGCGTTCGTCTAATTAATATTTTCCATTATCTCCTCAGCTGGGAGTTGATTCAATTGTGAGGTCTAATTGAATATTTGAATTTATCTCTGATGCAATCAGAATGAAAGAAATAACCAATTGGAAATGCTCGAAGAATCGATGATGCAAATCAATAAAATTCAGTGACAATTTTTTTTTCTCCTCGAGTGATGAATTATTCACTCGGAGTTACAGTACTCTGCTGTTCGTTTAGAACATTGAATTGAAATAAATTTTTTCATCTCGAAAAATATATTTATATATAATCTTCAGTTTTCATCAATTTCTCGATTTATTTACAAACATCTGCTATGGCACAATTTGGTGATTGCACCCGGCAGTAATTCAACATTTTTCGTTGATAAATTTTAATTTTACGCTTACAAAAATACCTTATGATTGATAATAATCTTTATCCCCAATTCTGAGGTTGAATGAAGTAAAAAGAACTGGAGGACTTCCATACCTTTAAAAAGATATTCTCATTGCGATAAAAGGAGCTCTAAATAATGAAAAATGGGATCATCAGTTGTTTTATGAATCCATTCAACTTCAGAATTGTTCTTTATAATTTTATTGGAACTCTGCTCTCACTCAATTTGGGTAATTAATGTTCCCTTGAAAATCACCTTCAGTCTTGGCTGAAGTAAATGTTTTTGTCTCATGACCATCGAGAGTGTCTCTTCAAAATTTCTCAAATGAACCGGACGAATTAATTTCTAAAAGTAGAGGTCAATAGCTGCCTTAATAAAAGAAAAATCTCACGAGAAGAGATAAAAAACTGACGCCCGTTCTCTCCGTTGTAAAAATTTCGAAAAGAGAATTTCATGCCCTCGATGGAGATTCGGGGAAAAATATAGTAATGAGTTATTTGTAATAATACTCTACAATATTTACATTTTTGGTCGAGACTAAAGAGGCTCTGAGTTGCGGGCATTAATTAATTATTCTCGAGATAAAGCAAAAACAAAAAAAAGCGTTCTACCACTTCAGTTTAGGTTTCATAATCCAGCCCAAAAGAAAATTGTAATTTACAAATGGAAAGAAAAAAATCATGGTAATGATTGCACTCGATTACCCAGGACCCTCTCAGGTGTCCCTCGGCGTTAATGACTAGAACGCAAAGACTCAAACTGCGTTTTAATAATTCAATAATTATCTCGATTCAGTAGTGAATTGATGAAAGCTATTTTCAACCAAAAATAAAAGACTCTTCAAAATATTCCCCGCACCTCCTCTACGCATGTTTGACTCTGGCGATGTGCAGGAAAAATGACACCTTGTCATCGCACTCATGTCCACACATGTTGCAAGTAAACGGATTGCTGAATCCATGATACCCCATGTGTACACTGTACATCACTTCATTTCCAAAAACAAT